TGAGCAAAGGGCCCAGAGGAATGTCAGGAGGAACGTGAGAAGGTGAGTGCTGGCGGGTCCTGCCCGGCACGGCCACCCCATCCCTCTCCTCATTCCCACCCCAGCACTGCCACATCACAGTCCCATTCCTAGAAACTCATGTCTGAATTATCACAATGACCTCCAAAGAGTTCTCACTCCTTCCAGTTTCTTTCCCTTCAAACTTTTGTCAGAGTTAAACTGCCTAAACTATCACTCCATTCCCACGTTTAAAGCTATCTTAGTTCAATTAGGCTGCTTTAAAAAAAACATCATAAACTGGGAGATCTGTAAATGATGAAAAATTATTTCTCGCAGTCCTGGAGACCAGGAAATTGAAGATCAAGGCCCTGGCAGACTCAGTGTCTCCTGAGGGCCGCTCCCTGGTTCACAGCCTGCCCCTTCTCACCGTGTCTGCAGGTGGTAGAAGGGGTGAGGGAGCTCTCTGTTAATAAGCGGCTAAGCCCATTTGTGAGGGCTCTTCCCTTTTTATCTAATTACTGCACGAAAGCCTCACCTCCTAATACCATCACCTTTGGGGAGAAGATTTTAACGTATGAATTTGGTAAGAACACGAATGTTCAGACCACAGAATTCACTGAACTCTTTAGTGGATCCCACAATCTAGGGGCCGTGTGCTAGGCTGGTCTCCTAGAGCTGCCCCTACCCCTGACTGCAACTGCTCCGTCCTCCACTCCCGTCATCTCTTCTCCCACCCTTCTCCTGATGTACCTTTTCAGTCATCCCACCTGGCAGCTTCCCTGTTCTGAGGATTCTTCTGCTTGTGTTTCTCCTGTGACCGGAAACCCGCTTTTCTCTAGTGACCCAATATCAATTCTCCCAGTTGTTTAAATTCAGTTCAAGTTCCCCAAAGGACCCATCCTGAATCAAAATTCCCTCTTCACGTAGCTTCTGTACTACCAGAGTTTGGTCACTATATATCCTTTCTTGGAATACTTGTTCCATGAGAATCTCGTGTCCCTAGACTATGTCCTATGACTGTGTCTATGTGCTTTCCAGTGCTTGGAGCCAAGTGTAATTACAGGGGTTCATACTTTCACAGGGTGCACTAGTCCACATGTATTTATTAAATGCCTACTTTAGCTAAGCAGATGCTCAACAAGTAACCGAGTGAAAAATGTGTGAACGGGAGCAGAGAAATTATAGAATAAAAATACCAGAAATTACAAAACTTGGGTTCCATTCTGTATCCACCAGAATTGTCAGTGATGGCTAATTACTTAACTGCCATATGTTTGACACTGTGTTTGGTGAGGCATGGGCCATGGAAGAGTTAAGCAATGTGGTCTGTGTCATTTCTTTTCATTTAATGGTGACAGGATTACATGAACTATTTTAAATAAATGTGAGGCTAATATCTGAGGTCCATTAAGGATGGACTTCAAGGGCAGGTACTGAGGAAATACAAAGAGAAAGGGAAGAATCAGTGAGGCATTGAGCTCCCAAGAAAGTTCCCTGAAGATCTCTGGTCTTTGACTGGATCTAGACATTTGGGGTTTGGATTTGAACATAAGGGCTGGTGTTATAGTGCAGGGTGATGGCAGGGTGTGCGTCTGAGGGACATGGAACTAGAAGTATGCGAGCCTTTGTGAGGATGGCCCAGGTGGAAAGCATGGAGGTGCAGAGAGAACAGGATGGGTGGTGGTGGGGAGGGAAGTCTATTTCAGGAGGATGAAATGAAAAAAGGATGTGAGACCTTTAGCAAGGCACCTAAACCCAAGTATGGATCATAAATACTTGTTACCCCCTCTCTGCTTTGATCTAGCTTTTAAGTAGTTAATGATACAGACCCTCTAGCCATGAAATGATCTTTACTCATTTTTCAAGTGATTAATAACCTTTTCTTGGGTGTCACATTTATCCCACACCTTAGTTTCCATAACTGCTAGAGATAAATAATCTTACCTCATAACTCTATCAAGAATTCCAGCTGCCTGACTATTCCATGTGAAATACTGCGTGTCCTGCCTGTATCTATGTTACGACCTGTGCTCTATACAGGTATCTATAATCACCTGTGCTCTATACAGGTATCTATAATCACCTGTGCTCTATACAGGTATCTATAATCAGCACTCACATTCGTCAGTCTGTGTCTATCAGCTGCTATCTCTGTGTCTGTCTGTGTACACAAATTGTACATAGGTAGTGACAGTGAGAACTCCTAGGTGATGACGCCTCCATCCCTTTTGATTCCCTGTAACTTGTAAGTGTCTTTCTTTTCCAAAGTGAGTTTGCAAACGCCCATGTGGCTCCTTCTGTCACTGACGCCCCAGCTTCCCATGGTCGCACTCCTGTGTCTGGGCAATGGCTTTCCCTTCAGGGAGTTAAACGACTTTGTCCTCACTCAGTGCTGACCACATGTATGTGCCTTAGCCCTAGTCCCTCATTTCTACCAGCTGGTAAACCCTGTAACCCTGTTTCCATTTCTCCTATTTTTATTCAAGGTAGACATTCCCCAAACCCTCTCTGAAGTCTCTTTATGGCTTGTCTGAGTGAGTGTTACTCATGTCCGCTGCTATGAAAAGTGAGTCCTATCAGTCTTGAGTTCTAGAGCCCTGCATGTTCCAGCATTAACTGCTGCCCTTGTCTATTTGCCAAAGGCATTAAATTTGCCTGGGGAAGCGCCATGAGGTGCTCCAGTGGGTCACCTGGATGCCATCTGGAATTTTCCTGGCCCCGTATGCAGCAGTGGCTTTCCTCTTATTGATGATTAGGTGCATTTTCCTTCCTGCCTGTGTCGTAGTTCAGGGAAGTTAAAGGGGCTGGTGCAGCTGCAGCAGGACTGTTCCTGTGTCTCTGGATGGACACTCTACACCCTTCAAGGACTGGAGCCTCTAGACTCTCAGCCTGCAGGTGCCTTGGGCTTCACTCCCAGTGGTCAGAGGGGCAAGATGAACTATGTGTTCTTTGCTTTGGATGGTTTGTGCTTCCATGCCTCAAGCCTGGGCTTCTGAAACCTTCCCTAACGGGCTGCCCCTGCATCAGGTTTATTTTACACCGTGTCCTCTGATGTATTTAACATTTCTTGCTAATCTGTTTCAACTAGCAGGATGTCATTAATCCAGTCGAACAATTGAGGTTCTGAGGATGGTGTAGGTGGTCTAAGTCCTTTTGGGACATGTTATAACTAAAGTAGAAAACCGTAAGGTGTGCTGCTATCTATCCATCCCAGTGAGAGAGAACGCTTTCTATTAGAGAGGGAGCAGAGCACAGAAGCCAGGCCAGTGGCTGTGTTCCCTTAACTGTCCTGTGGCTCTGGGCCACGGTGGCAGTAGTTCATGGGCTGACTGCTTGGGCTTTTTGAATTTCCTTTTTATTTCCCCTATAGGGTCATTTCTTATCTTTCTTTAAACCTTGTTATATATTGGAACATTTTTATAACTGTTCAAACATTTTCTCCAGGATTTCCTTGTGTTCATAGCAGATTAGGGGTCCATAAAGGTTTAGTCTGCCATGTTGCTGAGAGTGAGAGGGACGATAGTTTTTACATAACTTAGCTGTGAGGGAAGGAGGGAGTACATAGCAACTATACAGAGTCACAGCGGGATGTGGGTGACGGTTACGTTAAAACAGAGAAGATTATAATACTTTGTCTTTAGGGAGAAAGTGTTAAAAGACAACTAGTTGACAGTTCAGAGCACAGTCAATGCCGAATTGACTAAGGCCCTGGAAATGGAAATGAAGGCTCTGGAAAGACTCTGGATGGTTCAGAGATGGGGAAGGAGGGTCTCATAATACATCAGGGACACTGTCGCTGAGGTTAAGTTGACCGATTACTTACAGATCCATGGCATTAAAATACTGAGGGATTTTTTTTCCACTTTGTATTAGATATTTTTTGAAATGAGTGGGGTAGCATAATTTTGTAAATGTTTAAGTTGAAAAATTATCTTCTATAAAATTAATAGTTAATAACTATTTGTCTTAGGAAGGGCTTTTGAAGAGCTCTTATAGCATGAAGAATTGGGGATGAAATAACTGTGTTTATTCTGTGTCTTGTTATCATTCCATAGGAAACAGACTTATATAAATAGACTCCAATAACATTTTAACTATTAAAAATTGCCTTGTCATGACCTTGAATTAATACATTTGGTTTATCTTCTACTTGACATAAACTTGGGTAGCTCATTACCAGCAAAAATACATGATGTTTGTAAAGGAGATTTTGTTCTTCTACAAAGAGAATTCAATTTTTTTAGGACTTATTTCATTAGTGATTCCTGATCATAATTTGAATGATTGCATATCTGGATGGAATGGTGGTGGTACAATAGACAAATTCTTGTCATAGATGAATCTCTTTTGAATATTCTTTTATCCCTAAGTTCTGCTATTTGCCAGTGAAAAGTAAGCAACTATTTAACAGTTGCCATTTATTAGTTTTGATAATCATATCAAACTAAGATACGATAGTAATTTTTCTTTTGTCTTTGGGGAAGTTCAGATTCCATATATTATTATAATTTAATTCTAAAAATATTTATTTAAAACTCTATGGTGCCTGGTACTATGGGAATATCCATGAAGTAAACACGGTACCTAGAGTCAAGGAGTTCACAGTCCGTAACACGGGAAGATACCAACACCGTGACATGATAAGGGATCAAGAGGAATCCCTATGAGTGGATTAGCGGTTTAACTGGGAATAAGTGAGGCAAGGCTTCCAGAAAGAGATTATATTTAAACTGAAGTTTAAACAACTAATTCATCAATCAGCTATCATCTTTATATTAAAAAGATAAAATTGGGAAAATAGATGTTCTGTATAGTGCACAGAGTGCCTCCAACTTTCACGATGTAGTATTGCTGTGTGTGAGTCCCACGCTCAGCAGCTCAGCCCTTTGCCCAGGGCACACTCTCAGCAGCCCCACGTGATGACAAAAATTGTTCTGGAGTGCATGTTGCCTTCCCACCTGTTGAGGAACTGCAGGAAACATCTTCCTTTGTCTGCGCAGGAGCCCTGTCCTGGTTTTCCAGTGCAACTATCGCCATGTGATCTGCTTAGACTGTTTCCACCTGTACTGTGTGACAAGACTCAACGACCGGCAGTTCGTCCACGACCCTCAGCTTGGCTACACCTTGCCTTGTGTTGGTAAGTCTAGAGCGTCTTTTCTCTACTTCTAATGCTTCTAATGAAAAGCAAAAGAAGAACTTCTGATGAAAAACTACCTCCCGTAAACATACCTAATTCCTCGCAGAAGGTTGAAAATGTGAATCTGATCATTACTGAGTAAGAGACATTAATGTTTAGATCCCAGAAGGATCTGTGTTGAACTAGAAAATGCTTAACTTGCATACAGGCATTGAAAATAAGTTGGAGAATATTATTCAGCCAAGGTCCACAAAGTATATCTGGGGCTAGATTTACCCCACCAGTTTTCGATTTGTTGCCCTAGACTTAGACCAATATTACCCAAATTCTTAAACTACACCACTATCACTTAAAAAGTTGAGTACATAATCAATATATATTGAATAACACATGAAGAAAGAAATTAAAGAATGAGATAAATCTTAACTGTTTAATATTTAAATTTTTGAAAATATTCTAACATCACAAAGCACCCTTTACTTGCATTATACTATTATTGCACGTGTAATTTTTAATTAAGGTGAAATTCATCTACTATACATTAGACGTTTTAAAGCATAGTTGATGCACCCACAATGTTGTACAAGCACATCCCTTGAGTAATCACTCCCCATTACCCCAGCCCCTGCCCACTGCAATTCTGATTTCCATCTCCCTCTTTCACTTAGTGTAATGTTTCTGAGGTTTATCCAAGCTGTAGCACATGTCAGTACTTCTTCCCCCTTAGTGGCTGAGTAATATTCCATCGTCTGGTTATTCCACAACATGCTTAGCCGTTCCTGTGTGGGTGGGCATTTGCGTTCTGCCTCCTTGACTATTGTGGATAATGCTGCTGTGAACACTCACACACAAGTGCCCGGACAGACACAGGCTTTGGGATATGCCCCTAGAAGCAGAATCGCGTGTTTAGCTTTTGTGAAACTGCAGCTGGCAACTGTCCTCCACAGCTGCCATAACACCTTGTAGTGCCACCAGCGGTGTAGAAGGTAAGGTTTCTGCTTCTCCACATTCCTGCTGGAACATGTCATTGTCCTTTGTGGGTTTTTCTACTAGTCACCCTAGTGGATGTAGAATGACATCTTATTGGGGATTTGGTTTTCCTTTGTTAATGACCAGCAATATTGAAGATCTTGGGTGTGTGCCTACCAACTGTGGATCTTCTATACAGGAATGTCCATGCAAGTCCTCTGCTCCTTTTTATTTTTTTAAATTATTTTTTATTTATTTATTTATTTTTTGAGACAGAGCCTCAAGCTGTCGCCCTGGGTAGAGTGATGTGGCATCACAGCTCACAGCAATCTCCAGCTCCTGGGCTTAAGCGAATCTCTTGCCTCAGCCTCCCAAGTAGCTGGGACTACAGGCACCTGCCACAATGCCTGGCTATTTTTTGGCTGTAGTTGTCATTGTTGTTTGGCAGTAGTTGTCATTGTTGTTTGGTGGGCCCAGGCTGGATTCAAATCCACCAGCTCTGGTGTATGTGGCTGGCACCTTAGCCACTTGAGTTACGGGCGCCGAGCCACTCTGCTCCTTTGTAAATAGGGCTGTTTTTCATTTTGTCGTTGAGTTATAAGAGTTCTTTAAAGATTCTGGATCCTGGACCTTTATAAGGTGTATGTGTATGATTTACAAATATTTCTCGTATTCTATAGATTGTCTTTTCACTTTCTTGCTAATATTCTTAGATGAGCAAAAGTTTTTACCTTTGATGAAATGCAGTCTATTTTTACCTTTGTTGTTCCTGTTTTTGATGTTAAATATAAGACTTGCTGTATTACAGATGATGAAGGTTTGTGTCTATGTTTTCTTCTGATAGTTTACATTTTATATTTCAGCCATTGATCTATTTTGAGGTGACTTGTAAACAGAGTGAAGTAGTTTCTCCTCATTACATATACGTATATGTTGTAATGACTGCAATGTGATTAAACATGCCTCTTAATACTAAAAATTGTAATTTGAAACTGTGGGATACTATAATCACTCAACAGTCAGGTTTTAAGTTCAGTTTATTTCAATACTTTTAGTGTTGATAATAGTTAATAAACATATTTCAAAGTGATACAGAGACCCATGTGCAGAGAGCTAATTACTTTGTTGACTTTGTAAATTACAATACTCATTTTTTTTTTACGATACTCATTTTTTAATCATATCTGCCAATAAAGCCGTAGTGTTTACTAAGGTTCACACAATATATATATCAATATGTTATTAATGAAAACTCATTAAAAAGTGTTGTGTTTTTATATTTTTAACAAAGATATTCAAAAGCCAGTAAGGCAATTATTGGCAGATTAGAAAACTCTATTTTAAATATTTTTAATATAATAATTTTATATTAGCAAAACCTCTACTGTCACAAAACCACAAATGATGGAAACATTTCTAAATACTCATTTTAAAAATCTTTTCTTCTTACTCAAGGTAGTTTTAGTAGTCAATTTATTTCTTGCTTATCTTTTAAATGTTTATCTTTCTTAATAAGACATTTTCAAATATATGAAAGTAACAATAATACTACAATGAGGGCTCCTGTATCTATTAGCCAGGCTTTGTAGTAAAACAAGATGTTTTAGGCTTTTTAAATTTTTTTTTGTAATTCTTGCCCAATGGCCTAGAATCAACTATCTTTCTTAGAAGCTACTATCCTTTGATAGGAAATATTGCAATTTTCATTTTAATTTTAAAGAATAAGCATCTTTTCATATGTTAAAAAATGTAGATTTTTTTTGCATTTCTTTTTCTCCTTCATTTAAAAAAAATCACTTCTTACTGAGGGGATAGGTTAAGTGAGTATATAATTTTCAACAACATTTTTATATAATGCACTGTTGACAGTGTCCTGTGGTCACAGGAAAAGTTAGCAAAGTTGTATATCTAGTATGTCTGTAAAGAATGCATGTGAATTAGCTTTGATTTTGCTAGTTTTCTGCCACACAATAGAGAGGCTGAAAACCTCTGTGGGAAAAAACTGTGCGTGGTCCAGCTCTATCTCATTAAAATGCATTCCATGTATTCTATATTTTAAATATGTTTAATTTAAATGCCTTTTGAAATTCATTTTATTTTTAATTTAATGTCAGTGACATCCTTAGAATCTTACACATTCCTGGGTACAACTTCTTGGTTTTCCTGGTAAATGAGGCAGGGGATTAGTGACTATAACAATGCTGCTTTGTAATTTTTCTCTGTAATCATTTCACATAATTTCTGGGAATGCTGCCACCTCATTATTGGTTATTTAACATTACATTCATAGAGATTTGCTTTTATTTTTAAAAAATGCCACTCGCTATGGAGAATTTATTTTCCCTGGCACTTCTTTCCCTCAGTGTTTAATGACAACAAGCACCATGTTCCGTCATTCGTGTGTTTTGCCATTAAAAAGGAATGTCGTGGACAACCAGCTCGGAAGGTTAGGAGCTACTGTCTTTCAACTGTGTAGTGAATCTCGAGACAGCACACTTCCGCCCCGTACTTAATATGTATCTCCAAAAGTACTTACAAGGACATCCGTTGAGTTCAGTTGGCCATGGTATTTTTTATCGTATTTTATTTTAGCCTTTTGTAAAACTGTGGCTCCAAGTATAAATATTCCCCCATAGTACATAAAAAGAGACTTTCGAATGTTACGGAGTTTTTATTTTGTTATTAACAAACTGGATTATCTAATTCTTGCTCGCCATACTCATGTTATTTATTACTTTGTTTCTAAATGTGTTGCTGAATGTAACGGCCTCCTGTTCTCCTTAGCTTACTATATACCAAACTTGGGGCTCACTCGTGTACCTACATGGTCAGGGTTGCTCTTTTCATTTTTCTTGTCCTTTCATTAGTTCTGTAATTAATAGTTTCTTTGCAGGATTTTTTTTTGTTTAGGAAACATTTTTTAAAATTATTATTTCAACAGACTTAGGGGGTACAAATGAAGTTAGTTACATGGGTCTTTGGTACAGGGATGAGTCTGGTATTGTAGGTGCCCATCACTTGACTCGTGTACACTGTACCCAATTCATCCCCCACCCTCTCTCACCGTCCCCACTTTGGAGTCTCCAGTGCCCATTTTTCTTCTCTCTCTGTATGACCATGCATACTCGTGGCTTAGCTCCCTCTTAAAAAGGAGAAATTTGATTTTCCATTCCTAAATTACTTCCCTTAGAATAGTGGCCTCCAGTTCTATCCAACTTTCTGCAAAGGGCAGTATTTCCTTCTTTTTCTGGCTGAGTAGCATTCCATGGTATGTATGTGTGTGTGTGTATCATGTTTTCATTATCCACTCATCTGTTGATGGGCGTGTAAGTTCATTCTGCGTCTTTGTGATCGTGAGCTGTGCTGTGATAAATGACAAGGGCAGGTATCTTTGTGGTATAATGGCTTCCGTTCCTTTGTGTGGATGCCCGTGGTGGGATTGCTGGATTGAATGATAAATCTACCTTTAGTTCTTTTAGACATCTTCATACTATTTTCCATAGCACTTATACTAATTTACATTCCCAACACCAGTATATAAATGTTCCCTTTTCACTACATCTGTGCCAACATATGTTGTTATTTGAGCTTTTAATAATGGCCATTCTTCCTAGAGTAAGATGATATCACATTGTGGTTTTAATTTGCATTTCTCTGATAATTCAGTGATAATGAACATTTTTTCATATGTTGTTGGCCATTTGTGTACCTTCTTTTGAAAAATTCTTGTTCATGTCATTTTCAGTGTTTTTCTTTTTCTTACTGAGTTGTTTTGAGTTTTTTTAGAATTATTCTAAGTCACTCATGTTTTTTAACAGAGTGGTTTAGTTAAAATGAGATAATTTATTCATAATTCTATGAACTGCGTAAAGGTAAGTGACAGCACCACTCTATGGGGGGTTGTAGGACTCCCCATGCTCCCTGGGGAGACCCTCGCAACACATAACATGTGATCATCGATGGACAGACCAGGGCTTGGGAAGGTACTAATAGTTTGTACATTAAGCCTCAGGGAAGGTTATTTTCATATT